GCATAACTTTAACTTGTAAATTTTTCTCAAAATTTCAACAAGTGTTAAACATGACCTCGGTTTAACTTCAACTTGTAAATTTTTCTTAAAATTTCAACAAGTGTTAAACATGACATCGGTTTAACTTTAACTTGTAAATTTTTCTTTAAATTTCAACAAGTGTTAAATATGACCTCGGTAATTTTTCTTAAAATTTCAACAAGTGTTAAACATGACATCGGTTTAACTTTAACTTGTAAATTTTTCTTTAAATTTCAACAAGTGTCTAAACCAATATTAGCTTGTGAAATTCCAACTCCCAAGCATCATTCTTCAGCCCTCTGCCCCCTAATGTGAACTTACATTTCACTTGGGTTCTCATTAAGCATGTGGCTTTGACCTTGTCGCCAAGGTCAGATTCAAACAAAGACTGGCCGAGGTTCCCAACCTTGGTCTCTTTGTTAATCTGACTGATATGCACTTAGTTCCAATTTGTGTCTGATTTTGCCGATATGACAAGTCCATGTTAATCCAACTTAGTTCAACTCTATTAGATGCAAGTATAATTCAACTCTATCATATAATAAGTCTAAATTATTCGTCATGTTTCGCTTAGAAACATCGCCAACTTAGTTCAACTCTATTATATGCAAGTGTAATTCAACTCTAACTCTGCCATGTAATAAGTCTAAGTTATTCGTCATGTTTCGCTTAAAACATCGCCAACTTAGTTCAACTCTATTATATGCAAGTATAATTCAACTCTGCCATATAATAAGTCTAAGTTATTCGTCATGTTTCTCTTGGAAACATCGTCAAGTACTGGAATCTGGGATTCGAGATCTAGAATCCAGGATCTGCTCACTTAGGCTGAGCTCTTGTCTCCTCGGATCTACTTATCTAGGCCGAGATATTGTCTTCTAGGATTTGGGATCCGGGATTTGGAATCCAGGATCTGCTCACTTAGGCTGAGCTCTTGTCTTCTCGGACCTACTCATCTAGGCCGAGATCTTGTTTTCTAGGCACCAGTTTTGGTTGCTGGTGCCGGCATGTCTTGTAATAGGGATGCCAGCTGCATCATGTTGTTCTGCATCATGAGGTTGACCACTGTTTATAAATCTGTCATCTTATTTGCCATGTCTTTTATTTTTCTCGTCTTTTCTCCAGCATCTGTCCCTCCATACCTGAAGGCTGCTTTTATGATAGTACTTATCTCGGCCTGCTTTCTTCAGTGCATCTCCCTATTGGCCGATGTTATTCTCCCCGAGATTTTGATCCCGTGCTCTTTCTTTACGGTTTTCTTCTTCTACGTTTAGATTGGCAAGTTTACCATCCCCACTAAGGATGTCGTCCCCAATCTTTTCTCCCTGCTTGTTGTTGGCCATCTATTCTCCTTAAGTTCCCACAAACGGCGCCAAATTGATTTTGTGTGTGTTGTTTTTCAACCACACTGCCAATCAAGCAATCAGCTGAAGAACACTGGCAGAATAGATTAAATCCGAATAACCTGTCACAGAAAGAAGAGATTCTGGCGGTGGTTCGTCCACCCGGGGGCACTCCGACGATCAAGTCAGTTATCTCTCAAAGATAGCAAAAGTGCTTAACTCACTATTCAGAACATAAAAAGCATACCTTAGAACCATGTGGGTGCCTCCCTTTTATAGCCAACACAATCCTAGTCCTAATAGAAGCCTAGCTTCAATGGACTTTGGATTACTTCTAATCTTGGACTCCCAGTAGGATTGAGATAAACTCTCTAAGAGTCTTATCTTTATCCAAACTGAAGTCTTCTCTCATTCTAGAACTCTTGTCCCTTATCTGCTTATCCCGGATTCCGGTATCTTCGCAGATAACCCCGACCTCGCTGAAATCACCTCGACGTTATGACCAAGACACGTGGCATCCCGGCTGACACTTCGGTGACACCTTGGCCACGTGTTTGTCACTCAAAAATTATGTCCCCACAATATGTATTTCCCCCCCCCCTTCCTATATATTAAAGTAAATTTTGAGAAAAAATAAAGACTCTCTTAATGTAATATAGTAAACACTTTAATTTTAACATAATTACATTGTGTTCCCTCATTTTAATTTGTATAATACTTAATTTTCATCCATAATTTTTTTAGTTGTATGGATAAGAAAAATAATATTATCGTCTTTTGTAAACAAAATTGTATATTTTGAATTATTTATTTTGTACTTACACAATATCGGCATTAGTTTCGGTCCATTTTACTTTACTAAAAGATATTAGCGTAATTATATGAAAAATATGAGGCTTAATGTATTGTTTTTGAAAAATTCAAAAGAGGTTAGTGTAATTTACAGTGCACAACATAAGATTTTTATTGAAGAACCACATAGTGGTATGGTACAAATTCAAACTCTAATGCATCATTAGTTAATTTGACAAGTTAATACATATGTTAATAGGTAGTCACGAATGTCCCATGCATTATTAGCCTTACAAAAGATAAAGTCAATTTGAAAATGTGATAACTTTCTGTATCAACAATCTACATAAAATTACAACTATGTCAATTGTAATGTTTATCATTTACTTCATTTTACTCAAAAAAATATAAATGTTATAACACATTTTTATATTAAATTTGAAAAGAAAATTATCACATTTTCAAATTGACTATATCTATTGTAAGGCTAATAATGCATGTTACATTAGTGACTACCTATAAACACCTATAAACATATGGGGGGATTTGGTGATAGACCCCTTATTGTCTAATTTGTCTTTCAAATGGACAAGAATTATATAGATCTTTTCAAAACCCCCTAATATTTTAAAATTTGTTTATTTTACTATACTACCCTCATGTATATATATATCAGCTCTCTTGTAAAGTCATCCTCACAATATATTTTAGAGTAAAATTTATTATGATTCAAAGTAAAATTTTATATCATTAAGCACATATATTGTCTTAGAGGTAAAATTTTACTCTCATTCTACCAAACAAAAACAGAGTACATACCAGAGTAAAATTTTACTGTCATTCTGTCAAACAAAAACAGACGACATACCAGAGAAAAAAAATAGAGAAATAGAGAGATAGAGAGAGCACATATATTGCCTTAGATTTGGTTCAAACCAGAGTAAAATTTTACTGTCTAAAAAGTAGAGCATGATGAGGAGACAAAGAGAAAAGGATGAGAGAATATAGATTTGAGATGATAAATCTCAAATTTGACGTCATCAATCTCAGATCTGAAGTCTTGGATGCTAAAGATGACGATGGTGGCATCAAATGGCGCTAGTGGTTGAGATGCTAGTGGTGAAATGGTGGTGGCGGTGGTGGTGATGAACAACATCGATGGTTAAGACGGTCTTGGTAGGGACGACGGAAGTGGTGGAAACGATGGTAATCATGGCAGTCGTGGTAGTAGAGATGGTGATGGTGGTGGTGGTGTAGACAGTGGTGATGGTGGTGGAGAGAGCTCATATAAAGATAGAGAGTGTGTGTGAATGGATAAATTTGCCACACAAAATATAAATCTAAAATTTTTTGTCCTTTATATAAGACTTTATAATTATGAGAGGGTTTTGAAAGTATATATATATATATATATTGGGTCCTTTTAACAAGAAAAGGAAAGTAAGAGGGGTTTATGGCCAAATTTTCCAAACATATGTATTAACTTGTCAAATTAACCAACGATGCATTAGAGTTTGAATTTGTACCATACCACTATGTGGTTCTTCAATAAAAATATTATATTGTGCACTTATTATCTTTTAGGATAAATTACACTGACCTCCTCTAAATTTTTTTTAAAAAATACATTAAGTGTGTATTTGGAGTTACTATTTTAATAGACTATTTTAGTAAGTTAAAATTTTTGTGTTAAGGAAGATGGTTAAATTTTTTTGTAATTGAATATGATATTTGTGAGAGAAAAAATAAAATGATTATAAATTTGATATGACATTTTATCTTATTAGCTATTTTAGTTGTCTTTTTGTGAATTTTAACTTAAAAGAAGCTAAAATTTTTCTTGCCAAACACCCCCTAAGTCTCACATTTTTTATATAATTACGTTAATCTCTCTTTTAGTAAAGTGAAATAAACCGAAACTAATGCAGATATTATGGAAATATAAAATAAATAACGTAAAATATACAAATTTGTTTATAAAGGATGACAATATTATTTTTTTATTCATATAACTAAAAAAATTATGGGTGAATTACAAATATACCCCTGAAGTTTGCTTAAAATACAAATTGTCCCCCGTGGTTTGAAAAATTACAAATACCTCCCAGAAAAAAAAAATTTATTTAACAGAATTAATTAAAAAAAGTAAAATTTCTAACTGTTCACCTATATAATAATAAAATTATCTGAATTATTATTAAAAAATGTTAATTAAGTTAATAATTTATTAATAAAAAGACTTATTTGTTATGAAATTAGAAACCTTAAAGGGACATAATGTAATTTCTAAAATCACAGGAGATAATTTGTAATTTAAGTAAACCTCAAGAGGAGTGTTTGTAATTTACCCAAAAATTATTGAGGACAATTAAATATTATACAAATTAAAATAAGAAAACCCAATGCAATTGTGTTAAAATTATAGCATTTACTATATTACATTAGGGGAGTCATTTACTATATTGTTATGGGAGTCCTTATCTTTTCTCAAAATTCACTTTAATATTTAGGAGGAGGGGAAAAAAAAGCATATAAGAAGTGATGATTTGACATCAATAAAAATTTATACGTAGTAAAATAATATAAATAGTTTATCTATGCATGTCAAAAAATATTGAAGCGAAAGAAATTTCAATCCACCAAGTAATTGTTGAATTTCAATTTCAAATGACATTTAACTACCTAAATGTCAACCATCGCATGGCTTGATTCTTGATCAAAATTCAATAAGAATTAACATTTTCCTATATATATTTTGATGAAACCATTTCATATATAAAATTGGGATATATATATATATATATATATCAAGCATTATACAAAAAGTTTTGTTTCAGTTATTGATTACACTACACAGGCGGTCACACATCACTTGCCTAGATATAGAAAAGTTTAGCATCCAGTTCAAAGTACCTAAAATATTGAGTAAAGATATTGACACCTAATAAACTACACATCAAAAATAAATAAATAAATAAACTAATTTATTCCTAGCAATGCTGTAAAATATTTTACTCTGGCTCCTTCGGTCGAATGATAGCACATTTCACAATAATCCCACTCTTCCACAGTTCAGTATGATCCTCCAGAGAGAATTCCATTGTTCCATCGTTTTCTGGTGACATTTTAAACTCACCCAGATATCAAACCAACTTCCTAAAGGCTTTTCATTTAGACTTTCATTGCGTGTTAACTTTTTTGAATTTGGAAGGATGATGGCAAGTTTTAATGAGAAATCTTGATATTTGATCATCCTCACGACAAAAACAATTTCGTAAACTATCCCTGGTGAGAGATCAACTGCCCCATTAAATTGCCCTCTAACATCTAACCAAGATACCTGTAATAGCTCAGCGACTTCAATCTCTTCACCACTGCATGCCAAACTGGGTAAATGTTAAACCTGTCCATGGTCATTATAAATAAATAAATAAATCCAGAACACAAATTTTTGTTTCCTGCACAATTAATATATATACGATTTGCCCATTTCATGAACAAATGGTCCTTGAAGAAGTAACTCACAGTTAGGCCCTATTGCTTTAGGTCATGCCATTGATCAGTTTCATTGATTAAATGTTAAATAGCCTTAAGTCAACGTAGCATAACACGACATGAAGTACTTAAGCTATACACATTATTTAACTTACCTTGCCTCCTTCAATGTGATCCATCTCCAATATTGAGGATTATCATTCCAACAGATATTAAGGTCTCTTGCAAATAGCACAAAGCAGTTCTTGTTTGACTTCTTGTCGACAAAATACTTCTGCAATAGGCAGTAATGACAACACATGCATGGATAGCAATAATTAATGACAATAATGAGAAACCCCCCCCCCCCCAAATATTTTTGGATTTCAAAGTCAACGTTCAATCCATCACTATGAAATATAAAATTATACTGATTCTGAAATAATAGTGTGACTAGTTCATATGTGAAATGGGCTTTAAGTAGAACTTGCCAGTTTGTTGGGCTTTAAGTATACTCCGGAGTAGAGCTGCTCACACAGCTTGTCAGGGGAAGACATGTCAATTGATATATTTGCATCTTTCAAAATCGCTAGGAAATTAAGTGGGGGCCTTGTTATTCCATTTCTTGATGCAATTTCCTTTGCTTTCCTTGATGAATCTGCCTTGCTGGTTTGTTCAACTTGTTGGATCTCTGAAGTCCCATAGGCACCATCTAGCCACCACCAAAAAGGAAAAGCAAAATTAAGGAAACAATAGTTATAAAAATTTTAAATAAAAAAAAAAACATAATAAAATCTAAATGCTATTTCAGATTTTAAGGGATAGAAAGAAAGAAACAACCACATACATTCACATCTGGTGCACCATCGATTTGCATAGAGAAAGAGGACCTCCAGAAGGGGGCTTTGTTGATGGGATTCTCTCTTTTTATAATATTCTCTTCCTCTTCATTTTGTATGGAAGTTTTTTTATTTTATTTTTTGACATGTCCGAAAGATTTCAGATTCCATCATCAACCAAATGGGCTGGACCTGGACATTAATACAAGCAAATTGGAGGCCATGTACACAAAGTGACCTCCAATTTGGTGTTTCTGTCCAGCATTGGAATAGCTGCTGGTTGTTGCCATCACATGGGTGTGTTTGAATTGTTAGCTAGTAGCACGTGGGTTTTGATAGTGCATCAAAGCTCTTGCATGTGTAAGTGTTTGTTTATTAATAGGTGTAAGTGTTTGTTTATTAAATTTAGTGATTTGATGTGAAATGGATGTGAAATCTATTTTCATGTTCAAAATTTGTCGAGAAGAGAGTTTTTAACACTTTTAATGAGAAAGCCTTTATAACTTCAAAGGAAAAAAAAAGAAAAGGAAAATAAAGAATATACATCATCTAAGGGTAGGTGGCTTAGCCAACCATTTCTACAAATTAAATTCTATATTTAAGCATAAGAAAATTCTGAAAATATAATTTAAGAAGATGAAAGAACAAGAAATAAAGTACAAGAAATTAAATAAACTGCATCATCTAAGGATAGGCGGTTCAACCAACCATTTCTACAAGTTAAATCACGTATTTATGTATAAGAAAATTATGAAAATATAATTTAAGAACATGAGAAAACAAAAAATAAAATACAAGAAATTAAAGAAACTGCATCTAAGGATAGGTGGTTCAATCAATCATTTTTACAAGTTATATCACATATTTAAAGACAAGAAAATTTTACATTTAGAGGAAATGATGAATTTTCTGATTTCCAAACTCTCTTCCTAGCACCCTCAAGATTATGGAGTATGTATTTAAAATCTCAACAAGAAAATTCAGGTTTTAGCTTTAGTGAAGTTTTAGGTGGTATATCAATATATATTAGTGAAAGGTAAGAAAATGGAGGTTTATATCTTGATTTGTATTTTCTCTCAATTTTGACAAAACAAACTCTTTCTTTGATCAAGCTTAGACCTCTCTCAAATCAAATTTTTTCACCACCTTATTCATAGTTCTAATGGTCTTCTTATATAGGCAATTGAAGAAGGTTTTCTTAGTGGAAAAGTGAAAGACAATGGTGGAAGACAATTGATAATGGAGGTAGGAGACAATGTATAATCGAGGTGGATGGTGAGTGGTGATGGTGGTGTGCGATTAGGAAAATGGATGGTAAGTGTTGATGGTGGTGTGTGATTAGGAAAGTGGATGGTGAGTGGGGATGGTGGTGTGTGATTTAGGAAAGTGGATGGTGAGGGGGGATGTTGGGGAGTCCAGATCCTCTGTAGGGTTTTCCTACAGAGCATCCTGCAGTGCAAGGAAAACGAAGTCAATTTGTCTCGTTTTGCCCCTTTTTTTTTCTTTTTTTTCAGCAGCAGCTTCTCTTTCTTCTCTACTTCTTCTCTTTTCAAAGACCTAACCCCCCAAAAGTCCCAAAACGAAAACCAGAAGAGGACTGGAAGACGAATAGGGAAGACGAACAGAGGACCAGTGAACGACGGCAGACCGACAACAGGGAAGACGAATGCGGAGTCTGCCCAAAGGCCCAAAATGTCTCAAATTCTATATATATGTATATATATCATATATGTATCAAGTTCTATATATATGTTATAGGTTCTATATATATGTCTCTTCTTCTTCTTCTATATATACATACATATAATGATATAATATGTACTACCATAGTTTCCTAATTGCAATTTTGTAAAAAATAGGACTTTTCTTTCATGCTCAGGTTCTCTCTCTCTCTCTCTCTCTCTCTCTCTCTCTCTCTCTCTCTCTCTATATATATATATATATATATAGAATACAAGAGAGAGAACCTGAGCATGAAAGAAAAGTCCTATTTTTTACAAAATTGCAATTAGGAAACTATGGTAGTACATATTATATCATTATATGTATGTATATATAGAAGAAGAAGAAGAGACATATATATAGAACCTATAACATATCAAGGTTGTTAAGATCGGGATCCTACACAGGATCGTTTTAGGGGTCTGTCGGATCGGATCGAGGATCGTAAGATCCTACTAAAATGATAAAAAAATGCAATAATTTTTATATGACTAAATAATACCATCAAAATATATATAGAATAAGCCTCAAAAAAAGAAATATAGCAATTCAATGTAGCATTCAAGCATTTTTTTTCAAAAAAAGAAGTAAAAAACATAATAAAACCAAATACTAACACTTGCACTCCATTGTCATTGTTTCTTAATGAAAACAAAACAAACTAAATAAAGGAAGAACAAACAAAAACTACAATAAGCCATCATTGTCGCCGAAATTATCATCATTATTGCCACAATCAACATTAATCATTGCCACATCATCACTGTCATCATCATCACCACCCTCGGTGCCATCCAAGTCCTCAATGTCTTCACCAATAGTAGCATCTTCAAAGTCATGATCAAAATCCCTTCAAGCATCCATGTTTTGATCCATAGCATCATCATCACTTACTTCATGAACTTCATCATGTTCTATGAAGCACGGACACGCATACGGACACGGGACACGGACACGGGACACGACATTTTTAAAAAAATGGGGACACGAACACGGCTGGGGACACGGCAAATTTTTTTTTATATAAATTTTTTTATTTTAATACAAGTTAATTATTTTATTTAATTATTATATTTTTAAATAAATATGATTCTATTATTTTTTTTATTTTATTTTATCTACTATTTTTTTTGATTAGTATATATAAGATACAAGATATGCCTTTTTATTAATATTAAATAAATACACACACACACACATATATATATATATATATATTATACCAAATAAATACATTAATATTAAACCTAATAAATATATATTATATATATTATATGAATCAGATCAGATCAGAGCAGAGAGAGCGAGGCGAGAACGATCAACGCGATCGATGCGAGAACGAGAGAGGGAGAGAGCAAGAGGGAAGGCGAGAGACAGGGACGAGAGAGAGAGACTTACGGATGGAGGTCGACAGGCGAGGCGAGTTGAGGTCAAGGTCATGGATGGAGGTCGACAAGCAAGAGAGAGAGTGACTTACGGTGGTCGACTAAATGGAGGTTGACAGGTCGACTGGATTGAAGACTAGGTTTGTATCTTGACCTTTACTCTTCTCCTTTACTCCTCTTTTGCTCTTTGCTCTTTATGTCCAGATTTGGACACGCGTGTCCCCGCCGTGTCTCCGCCGTGTCCCTACAAAAAAAATAATTAAATTAAAGGGACGCGCCATCCAGCGTGTCCCGTACGTGTCCCCGGTGTGTCCCCGTGTCAGACACTGCCACGGCATGAAATCTGGCGTGTCCATGCTTCATAGATCATGTTCTCTACCAATATGATCACGACCTAAGTTGGAGTAAACAAAAAAATTAACAGTAAAATTAAAGTTATAATTTCTAATTAAAACTAAAAGATGTGTACATAAACTTACAAGCTTCTTCCAAATTCCTTGCAAGGGCCTCCACTTCATCTTCATCTGAATCACATCCATGTCGAGCATTCCTATGAGGCACACTCAACCAATTTCCTTCTCTTAGAAGAGTCAGAGTCTCTCTCTCTGTTATCCATTCATCATCAGATGGGATATCATCCAAACATAATGGATTCACGATTGCTTGTCTATGCATGTGTCGTTGTCTCAATTTCAAATTGTACATGACAAACACCAAGTCATTCATTCTCTTTTGGTGCAAACGATTCCTCCGCTTTGAATGTACCATCTCAAAAGCACTCCAATTTCGCTCACACCCCGATGAACTGCATGTTAAACTTAATATCCTAATTGCAAACCTCTTCAACTCAGGGCATTTATCACCAAAAGAGTCCCACCAATCAGCTACATGAAAGTTTAGTTATAAATTTAAAATTGATGAAATGAAAACAAATAATAAGATATTAAAAATGATACAAATCAACTTATAAAAAAAATAAAAAAACACCTGGAGATTTCTTTTTCCTAGTCATGATTGCATTTTGTATGCCAAAGAGCCCTCTTGCACTCTTGAATGCATTAATTTACAAATCTATCTTCACCCTCTCATTAACATCAGGAATCATTCTTTCAAGACATTTGTACAGCCCAATTTTAACCTCCGCATCGGGCTGAAAATTAGGACTATAATGAAACTGATGGTTCAAGAAGTATGCTGCAGCATGCAATGGGTGATGGAGTTGGGATTCCCATCTTCTATCAATGATGGTCCATATAGGATCATAGCTAACACCATTAAATAAAGAGTATTAATGAACAAATAAAAAGTTTAGAGAAATATAATAGTAAAGTAAATAAGTTTAACTAATTAAAAGTTTATCATGTGAAAACATTATTGAAATTTCTCTGAATTGCCTCTTTCGCACGATCCATTGCCTCGTAAATGAATCCCATCGTCGGATGCTCATTCGAATCCACCAATCTAAGTACTTTAATAAGAGGTACCACAGCCTTCAAGCACATAGAAACGCCCTTCCAAAAAATATGATTATCTAAAACAATATCTTCAATTTTTTTACCCTTTTCAGACCTTGCAAATCGACTATTCCTCCACTTGGATGATGTAAACAAAGAGAACAATGCACCCTTGCTCATGAAGGTGCCTCAAAGTCAAGTAAGATGTGGCAAATCGTGTTACCACGGGCCTAATAAGTTCAATACCTTTTGTGAACTCCTTCATCCAATGAATAAGATTTGTTCTTGAATAAATGTATGCCACAATTCGTTTTCCCTTTTTAATTGTAACTCGATGAAGTTGGATTTGCTTCTCAAAATCCTCTTAACATCAAATCTATGCAATGAGCGACACAAGGTGTCCAAAACAAGCTCTTCCTCTTATCCATTAACATTTCTCCCGCCAACTTATAAGTAGAAGCATTATCGGTCACCACTTGCACAACATGCTCTACTCCAACCTTCTCAACAATCTCATCCAACATCTCAAAAACCTTTTCACCGGTTTTTGAAATGTCAGATGTATCCAATGAGGATAGAAAGATAGTTCCATTAGGGCTATTGACAAGAAAATTACAAATTGATCTTCTCTTTCTATCCGACAATCCATCGGACATAATTGTACACGCGGTCTTCTTCCATTGTTCCTTGAACTCATCAAGCAATTGAAATGTCTCTTGCACTTCTTTTTTTAAAAATGTCACCCTAATTTCCTAGTAAGATGGTGGCACAAGGCCTTTTCCATAATCTCCAATTTTCTTAACCATAAGTGGAAATATAAACGATAAGTGGAAATATAGCGTTGTTGACACAATTAAAAAGAATTGCACTAGTGTAAAAAAATCGGGCAATTGTTTGACAAACATCATCTCTCTCTTCTTTCTTAAATAATTGATTGATAGTTTTTTGATTTTGATGCTGAGACTTATTCACCACAAATTTATCCATACGCCCATAATGTTTTTGTTTGTTTCTATGGCCACCAGCATACAATAATTCCACTTCTTCATCAGAATCATCATCACCAATATCAAGCATTCTCTTTTTCTTATTTTGAGACTCCAATGTTTGAGTTCTCAAAAGACTTATAAATTTTTCCCTAACATCTTTCAGAACTTGGGGACATGGTTCAACATTTTGATGAGTGCATGCCAAATGGTGTTTTAATCTATATATTCCTCCAGAACAAGTAATATTACAGTATTTACATTTTACCTTTTTGCTTGCAGCATCCACTTCAATGCCGTGTTCCTAACTAGGATCAGATCTTAGACCAGCAACATTTTTCCTCTTCCTCCCTCTTCCTGAGCCAGAGGCTGACATTCCTGCAATTGCAACAAATTGTAAACATTTGGCAAATTGTAAAAAGGCACAAGACACAGACAGTTCATGTTTTTAATTTCCATTCCCAGGGGCTAATTAAAACAACAGTAGCATTATCATTTATAGCATTGCAGGCAACAAAGAAGAAGAAGCAAAATTGAAGAAGAAAAAAGAAAAGAAAAAAGAGAAACAGAGCAAACGGAAGAGGTGATTCAATGTGGAAGACTAATGCCCCAAAATGAATGTGATTCAGTGAAGGAAAAAAATAAATAAGAGGTGATTCAATGAAGAAATAAATAAATAAATAAATAAATAAGATAATGACTTGGTCATCTAAAGAGCTTTACAACAGTAAGGTGCTCAGATCATACCCAGATGTTGATTCACAACAATAAAATTTCTTTACTGATGAAGAATGATTGTTCAGTTGTTTTTAGTTTTTTTTTTACAGAACAAAAATAAATAAATAAATAAATCAGAGGTAATTTACAGAACTAAAAATAAATAAATAAATAAATCAGAACCAAAAATAAATAAATAAATAAGAGCCAAAAAAAAATCACCGAAGGAGGTGATTCAGTGAAGAAAGAAGGAGAGATCAATGAAGAAAGAAAGAAGAGTAGCTGAGCAGCAAAGAAAGAAGAAGAGTCTTCAAATTCGAAGAAAAAAAAAAGAGAGCAGCAGACACCTGGAGTGGAGTCGCAGCGAAGAAGAGAGGGAGAAGAAGAAGAAGAAGAAGAAGAGGAAGCAGCGTACCTGGTGTCGTTTGCCCAGGTCAAGCTTCGTTTGATGTTGAATGATTGAATCTCTCTTTCCCCAGGTCAGTCTTCTTCGTTTGCCCTAATTTGCTTTGCTTCTCTGCTTCTCTCATTTCATTTTAGGTCCCAATTTGGCTTTTAAGTTGCCCAAAAAATCCTTCAAATCTGGATCACATGGAGTCGCGATCCAGATGGGATCCTACCGATCCCGTCGATCCCACCACGATCCCACCATGATCCTGCTCTGGGGTCGATCCGATGTACGATCCGGATCGAATAGTGTATAATGAGTCGTACGATCACAACCTTGCTAATAAGGTGGTGATGCCCTGTTTGGGTGTCAAGATCAAAATATTTCCATTAAATTTTTACCATGCCTAGTATTTCCACGCAACCCAGATTTCTTTTGAAAGGAAACCCTAGCTCAAAAGCTCTAAGATTAAGGTAATACTTAGAAAATCATCCATTTGTCTTCTAGCCCTCTGGTTTTCGTTTTGGGACTTTTGGGGATTAGGTCTGTGAAAAGAGAAGAAGTAGAGGAGAAAAAGCTGAAGAAAGAAAAAAAGGGGGGCAAAACGACGTCATTTTGCTTGCACTGCAGGATGCCTTGCAGGAAAACCCTACAGAGGATCAGGACTCAGATGGTGGGGTGTGATTAGGAAAATAGATGATGAGTGGTGATGGTGGGGTGTGATAATTTATGTACAAATACCTAAAATCATGTAAAATTATAAAATATTACAAATTAATGAACTAAAAATATATTTTAATGGTCTAAAATAATTTGTCCAAAACGGGTGAAGGTTGGGATTAAAGCTTAAATTCAATTTTTCTACTAAGAAGTTCATAAAATAGGATATTCCAATTTTCATCATCGGGTGTTTGGAAGAAAACGCCCAAATCTTAAGCCGGTCAAAATAGGGTGTCTACACCCTGCTACCCCTAGCCCCTTCCACAATGAGAGAGAGAGAGAGAGAGAGAATTATGAGAGAGAGTGCGAAAGAGACCGTGCAACAGAGTGGGCAATTGATCGCGATCACTCTCACAATCAGATTTGATTTTTCCAAATCTGGTTGAAGAGAGTGAAGGAAAGAAAGAGAAGAAAGAGCGAAAAGAGAAAGGGAATGCAAGAATTGGGGTAATGGTGGGCGAGAAAAGGGCTTGAAAAGTCATCGGAGGTTAGGGATGGGAGCGGCAGCGATGATAGGAGTGAATGAAAGGGCTAAGAAAGAGTCAAAGGGGGCTAGGGTTGGTGATGGTTGAAAAGGTGGTTGCCAACTAGAGAGGGTGAAGAGGAAGGAGGAAAAGAGGAAAAAAAGAAATTAGGGCAAAACATAGAAGGGCAACAACGTAATTTTTTACCATGTTTTGCAAAAAAACAATTTAACTTCCATATCATATGCAATTATTTTAGATTTCTTCTTATTTTACAATTATTCATTTCTCATACTATTTTTCTATAATTTTCCCTAAAATTTTAGAAAGCAGATCCTCTCCTGTCCTTAATTGGACATGAGTCCAGTCTAGGCCACTTTGGGCCTACTTTGGGACGGGCCCGCCTCGACGATTCAAACCATTCATTTTGTAAAACTCATCGAGCACATTATTCCTACAAAAATTAAATTGATCAGATATCAATAATCACTTGATTAAATCACATTTGTTTAGAGAAAAAAAAAATTTGTATGACAACGTAATTTAATGTGTGGCAATGGTCTTTTAATTTATATATGTATGATTACTAATTATTACCATCGTTGCTTAACGGTTCTCTTTTTCAAACTCTTAAAAATAAGATACAAACAAAAAAGAAATATATAAGATTTGCATATAGAATGATTTGATTGCATTGTGACTCACAATTTTAAAACATAATGTCTGTCAAAGTGACATTTAACTACCTAAATGTCAACCATCCCATGCCATGATTATTGATCAAAATTGAATAAGAATTAACATTTTCCTATATATATTTTGATGAACCCATCTCATATATATAATTAGGATATATATATATATACAAATATATCAAGCATTATACAAAAAGTTTTGTTTCACTTATTGATTACACTACACAGGAAGTCACACATCCCTTGCCTAGATATAGAAAAGTTTAGCATCCAGTTGAAGTACCTAAACTATTAAGTAAAGATATTGACACCTAATAAACTACACATCAAAAATAAATAAATAAATAAACTAATTTATTCCTAGCAATGCTGTAAAATATTTTACTCTGGATCCTTCTTCGGTCAAATGATAGCACATTTCACAATAAGCCCACTCTTCCACAGCTCAACATGATCCTCCAGAGAGAATTCCATTGTTCTAACGTTTTCTGGTGACATTTTAAACTCACCCAACTGGATATCAAACCAACTTCCTAAAGGATTTTCATTTAAACTTTCATTGCGTGTTTGCTTTTTTGAATTTGGAAGAACGATGGTAAGTTTTAATGAGAAATCTTGATATTTGATCATCCTCACAACAAAAACAATTTCGTAAACTATTCCTGGCGAGAGATCAATTGCCCCATTAACTTGCCCTCTAACATCTAACCAACATACCTGTAATAGCTCAGCCACATCAATCTTTTCACCACGGCATGCCAAACCAGGTAAATGTTAAAACTGTCCATGTTCCTTATAAATAAATAAATAAATCCAGAACCACAAATTTTTGTTTCCTGCACAATTAATATATATATACAATTTGCCCAATTCATGAACAAATGTTCCTTGAAGAAGTAACTCACAGTTAGGCCCTATTGCTTTAGGTCAAGCCATTGATCGGTTTCATTGATTAAATAAATAGCCTTAAGTCAACATAGCATAACATGACATGAAGTTCTAAAGCTATACACATTATTTAACTTACCTTGTCTCCTTCAATGTGGTCCATCTCCAATATTGAGGATTTTCATTCCAACGGATATCAATTTCTCTTGCAAATAGCACAAAGCAGTTCTTGTTTGACTTCTTGTCAACAAAATACTTCTGCAATAGGTAGTAATGACAACACATGCATGGATAGCAATAATTAATAACAATAATGTGAGACCAAAAAACAAAAAAGGAAAAAAAAAAGCGATATCATGTATGGGTGGCATATATTTTTGTATTTCAAAGTTAAGTTTCAATCCATCACTATGAAACATGAAATTATACTGATTCTGAAATAATAGTGTGACTAGTTCATATATGAAATGCGCTTTAAGTAAAACTTGCCAGTTTGTTGGGCTTTAAGTATACTCCAGTGCAGAGCTGGTCACACAACTTGTCAGGGGAAGACGTATCAATTGATATATTTGCATCCTTCAAAATCGCTAGGAAATTAAGGGAGTGGGGAGCTCGAGCGAGGACCTGTCTGCAAAAACTTCTGGGAGTGTGCATCCGCCGCTCGAGCGGGAGATTGACCGCTCGAGCGGGAGACTGTGAGTGGCACTCGAGCGGGGGTTTCCACGCTCGAGCGGGGCGACTGTTATAAAAATCCGAGACCCGACTTTCTGGATCATTTTTCATCTCCCTTTTGATTCTAAAACCCTAGAACCGTCTTCTCCCTCTCCCTACACACCTTCTCTCTTAGGTTTGATCTACTTAGAGTGTATTTCTACCCTAAGTTCTTTGTTAAAAAGATAGAGTGAGTCGAGGGCTTCCGTTTAATCTGAACAATCTTGGGTTTGGAGCACTTTGGTTTTCGTCATCTTCTCCATTCGAATTCTTCGCTTCAAGGTAGGGATTTCCTACTCCATAGAGGCTGCTAACAAACCAGCTGAGACTTGTGAGGAACATGACCACATCTGACATTTGTCCTAGATGTGGGTTGACAAGTGAAGATTTGAATCACTTATTCAGAACCTGCACCACCTCTCAAAACCTCTGGATTGCAATTAAGGATAGGAATTGGTGGGAGGAAGGATGTGATAGGCCTATTCTTGAATGGATTACCTCTAATGTGAAAATTAACAGTGACTATTTTCATAAAAAAAGGGCAACTAGTTTTCATAATTACACTTTGGCAAATTTGGAATGACCGCAACAGATTAGTGTTTGATAATCTCAATCCTTCCATTCAAATCAGTCTCAAGAGCATAAGGAACGATGTTCATGAGATTGATGAGGCCTATCAATCTGTCCTCCACCCCAGGCCCCATCATCCTAGACTAATTCATTGGCTTTGCCCTTCTGCAGGAACTCTTAAACTGAATGTTGATGGCTGCTCCAAAGGTGATCCAGGCCAAGCTGGTTATGGGGGGCTGCTGCGGGATGATACGGGACTGTGGCTCTGGGGTTTCTATGGAAAATTGGGCCACTGTTATAGTCTCGAAGCGGA